AGGCCTGGCGAGGCGCGGGGCTGAGCCGGGCTTGGAGGCCGCGGCCCGGGCGGGGCTGAGGTGAGGGCTGGGCCCGGCGTGTCCGCGCTGGGGGTTCGCCTGGGGCGGGCACTGCCAGCAGGCCGCGGCCGATCGGGGCAGGTCGTTACCTCAGCGGGTCCAGCCCCGTTGGTTTGTAGGGGGGCAGGGGAGGTGGGTGTTTCTGTGAGGGAACCGCTGCTGCGCTCGCGGTCAGAGTTTCAGTGTGTTTTAGGCTGCTGCTCCTGTCATTAACCCGAGGTTGTGCCATTTCCAGTGCTGTCCGCGTGTCCTCTCGCCGTCCCCACTGCAGTCTGCTGTTCGGTTGTTCCAGGCCTGTCGTTTCAGACTTTCCTGGTGGAATTTCTCTTTTTTCAGAAATGGTGGTTTTGCACTGGTGGGCCCAGCTCCGTAGGGCTGTTCTGGAGGAAACGTTGGTGTTCACTACAGTGGCAAACCTGAAACTAAAGCGTGGAAATAGCACTTATTGAGAAATGCTTTACAGTTTTCATTAAGAATGAGGGGACAAGTTTCCGAAGACAATTGAGAAGTCTATACCTGTTTAGTGCGTTTTCTGTAGTATTTAATATTCAATAAAATTACAGCTTGCTATAACCATCGCAGCGTAGTAAAAACAGGGCTCACAGTATCTAGACAGTGATGCAAGAACTGAGTGCTTTATAAAGCAGGGATTGCACAGCTCCTGAGTTTTTGTGACAGACTTTCCTTTTAAAGTTGTGTATGTTGGCATAAATTTAATACCCTATCCCTAGAGGTCTGCATGGGAACAAACCCTGTACTGTTACTTGAAACATTAATTGAAAATACTTAATTGGCTGATGAGAAATGCTGAATCTACCTGGATAGCAGTCTCTGTCCTCCACATGAATACTTCATGGTAGTCATTAAATCAAGAACAACACAACTTTGCACTGCCTGTGACTTACATGGGAATTGATATCAGGTGATTCGGGAAAAATAATATAGGTGTTATATATGGGATAATCCCCTCTACCAGATTATGGTCCACTGCCACAGCTTGGTTTAAACCTTGAAACTGAATGTTTTAAGTACTTTTAACAAGACTGATTTTAAGAAGACTTTGGCATTTCTTCCCCTGAATCACCCAATCATCCCCTGAATGAAAAGTCCAGCCACTTAGGTCTTGTTAATGTCTTGTGGCTTCCTTTTGCAGTAAGCACCAGTTAAAATATGGGAAAAATGTTTTCTTCTCTGTTTCATTTTTTAGTTCCTATACTGAGGTATAAATTGCTTTCAGTGTTGTAGAGTAATTGCTTCCTATGTGATGCAAAGTGCTTGTGGATTTTGTGTGAATTCTGAGCAGCTCGATGACTTTTACAACAATGCAGTGTTTGTACCCAGGCTTTACCTGTAGGCTGGAAGTGGTGCTGATCAGCTGCAGCTAACCACCTTGGGTAGTATTCCTTTGAAGTGTGTCAGTGTTGACTGGTTGGTAGGTAGTCCTCATAAAATCCAACCAAGAGGAGGCAGAAAAAGCCTCATTGAGTAAATATCATTCATTGTGATACTAAACACAGTTGTGTGAGCAAATGGAAGGCAACATCATGTTTGGGATGGAGTATAAGCACATCAGTTATCTAAAGACAAGTATTTAATCATTTGGAGATCAGAAGAAAATGCACTTTAGATTGGAATGGAAGGAACACTTCTCTGTAGCTTGTGTTTGTAGTACTGTTTGTAGATTGACATAGGACTCCACAGCACAGTTGCATTTTTTGATAAATAACACATGAAATACGTACCATCTTGTGGTAATGGGCTCCTAATTTGAAGTGGAATATATAGAGCATAAACAGTTTCATTCAACATTTCATCTGACAGAAGAGCTAGTTTCTAGTTTGGTGTGTGTCCTGCTAACTGCCACTGCTAGGCTTTTGCTCTGTGTTCTTTTTATTTCAGTTGCTTTTGCTACAACTTCCTCTAACTTCAAGTATATATACACCAGGATATGCTTATCTTGAGGTGATCTTGCGTATCACTTGATAATAGCCTGGTTATGTGTGGAAACCACTGTAGTTCTGAAGCTGAAATGAGCTTGCTTTCTGCATTAGCAAATAAAGGGTAAACTGATAAATATTCAGACTTGAAAAACTGAAAAGTAAGAGTGAGCTGAAACTTGTTCGGTGGGCCTGCTGTGAAGATACTTCTTTTCGTGTAGAAGCTAAACTGGTACCAAGCCCACCTGAGGCTGCTTCTGGTGTGTTTGTGACAGTCAGTGGTGGGTTAGCTCACTGCCTGTGTGACTGTAAAACGTTGAGATTGCCTTTAGACGTGGAGTGCAGAACCCTTGTAGTAAAGGAATCTTTGTTTAGACCTTTTCAGTCTTGAAATCAGAAGAGATATAAATGTAATTTTACTCTTGATTTTCAAGAGGTACAGAAGAAAAAGTGAATTTCTTAATTCAGTTAATTCAGTCATGAACAATTGAAACATTGAATTCAGTGTGGGGTCTTGCTTCTCATATTTAGAGCAGAAATGGAAATATTCCATTATTTCCTCAACTGTTTCTAAAAGATAGTGGTTAAAGTTGAATAAGAAAATGTATGCCTTCAATTAGCTATTTCTATTGAGATAATTATTGGTATTGTGTAAAGCATAGTCTCAAACTTGTAGTAGTGCTTCAGCCAGTGGTTTCACACCGAAAGTAAGGGAACAGATGCACGTGCACTGTGCCAACCACTTCTTGGAGCTGTAGCAAGTATTATGTTTGAATAAATGCTTTAAATTGGTGATAGTGTCAAAAGGCCTTCTGTTCACAGCCCTACTTGTAAGGTTTTATGTGGTTATAGGATGAACTAGGTGAATGATAAACCATCATCTGGGCTAGTCTTCTAGCCTTGTAGCCTGAACAGCTCTCAGCACTACATGGGCTTGTGAGTACCTGAGGATGGAAAAGCAGGACTGGAAGCTGTGTAAGCCTGATGCTCTTCAGGAGAAGGGGGCTTAGGAAATTGTGATTAATGCTAATGTTACTGCACTGTTTGTAGCTGTGCTTTAATATAGAGAGATCTGGTGTGGTCAGAGCATATGGCGTTCAGCTCAGCAGTGATGTTGCTTCTCTAAAGCCCTTGTATGGGCTCAAGAGACTGGAGTGTGACAAATGTTCTGGCATAGAGATAATTCAGCAAGTCTGTTACATGATGTTTTGATATTGATCGTTGCACACTAGTCACAGCACTGTCATTTTCTGTTCCTTGAGAGTCTGTTCTGCTGTGCAATAAATAAAGCTTAGCAGTGACAGCAAAGTTCTGCTGGCAGAGTGTGCTTATTTCACAATTGAAGGTTTTCTGGAGTTTGTAGCTATGGAATTTTCTGGGGAGTAGGGCCGTTTAGCCATGTATGCTACTTTTACCTTATGCTTAAACCATTTTTTTTTTTAAGACCTGCACTTTGTGTGGTTAATTATAGAAAGCACTTTTCAAGAATCACTGTAATTAGCATAAGCGGTTTTTCTGTTGGCTAAATAGACTTGTTAATTAGTTATGCAGTCTGAATATTACATTGAGTCATCGAAGTGTCAGTGAGAAGGAACCTTTATCTCATGTAAGGTCTTGCCTTTGAAGCAGGATTGTCACCAATGTTAGATCAGATCAGCCTTGGCTTTGTCCAGCTGGATGTTTGAAAACCTGCAAGTGCAGAGTTTCACCACCTACTTGGGTGTGACTGGGGCAGGAACAGTATTGGCAAGACACTGTCTGTTATCTGTATGTGGAAAAGGATAGTGAGGAGATGCTGGCTACAGTTTTACTGGGGAGATTCCAATTGCAGAACAAGAACTCAAATATGGGAGAAAACAGGAGTGTGCAAGGCTGCAATGATCTATAACCATTGAATTGCTGTTAAAGCTAAACATTCTCTATTTTAATAAAGACCTTGGTTTTACACCCAGGCCTCCAAAGATACTTTTGGGGACACCAAGCATGGAGAGTGTGGGAAGACTTGATATTAGAGATACTGTTTTTAAGAACATTAGGCTGATGCAGTTAATGGCTTACTGTTTTGTTACTGAGATTTAATTAAAAAGAGACCAGGAACCCTCTGAACACAGTGGATATGGGGAACAAGTATAAATAGCTGAGACTTTACTGAGCTGCAGGCTCAGAGAACCTGCTGTGCAAATCATTGTGTATATGGTATTTGTCAAGACTAGAGAAGATGATATTGTGACACAACATCGATGCTTTTATCTCTGTCAATGTTTCAGAGATGCAATCTGAAAACAAACTGGAAGATCAGAGAGGCTGGGAAGCTCTAACGAGATATTGAAGATTGGGAACTTAACCCCTTAAATATCATGCACCTACTTCTGACAGCTCTGCAGTGGTCATTCTGTAGTGTCACTTGGAGTGTGGTCTAAACTGTGGGAACCCAGTTTGAATCAAGTAATAAACAGCTTCATTAAAATAGACTTCTTTTTTCTTTGTTTTTCTTCCAGCCAACAACACAGCAGTCTCCTCAGGATGAGCAGGAAAAACTCCTGGATGAAGCCATTCAGGCTGTGAAGGTGCAGTCTTTCCAGATGAAGAGATGCTTGGTAAGAAGGCAGCTTCTTAACATGCAGCAAAACGTCTTGTCTGCTAGGAGTAAAACAATAAATCAATATCAATCTCTAGTGCTGTGGGGAAGCTTACTTAACCCTTTTCTGCATCTTTCTGGCAGAGGCTTTGCAAATAAATGAGGTAGCTACTCAATGAGTGTGAGCTTGGAGTACTCTCTGAGTGTGTCTTCCTGATTTTGTTCTAGTATTTGACAAGAGAAATTATAAAGATTTATATGCTTGTACTTAAGTAAGCCTAAACTGAGAGTAAGCCTGTCACTTGACATCAGGAAGTTATTGCTGAAATTAATTTATATGAAAATATATTATTAGAAACTATTCTTGTCTATGTTCAACATACTATTGCTTTTTCCATGTAGTCTTTTCTGGGCATGATTGTGAGGCTGATAACAAATTACCGGCTGCATGGGGTAAATTTTGTAGTGATCAATTGTAGACTGATGCATGAATTCTTCTGTGACTGGCAAACACCATTGGCCAGGAGTGTACTGAGATCTTTGTCTTGAAATTGTAGAAAGTGCAGGCAGCTGATGTCATTGTGTGTAGCTTTCTTGGGTTTGAGAAACATATTTTTATTCAGAGAAACTGCTTGAAGTTGCAATGAAAATTTAAATATTCCCATGTATTTTCATGTGGCTGGCCAAGCTACTGTCATTTGTTTGCAGCCAAGTGACAGTAGCAAGGAAGGTAACACCTTTCCCAATTTTATACTTTGGAAGGCTTTTTAAATCTCTGTAGCTACAGCTGAGCTTTCCATTGCTATTTGTGACTGAGTGACAAAATACCAAGTGGATGACTCTAGCAATTCCTTTTTTTCCCCCTCTAAGTTTCTTAATATGTGTTTAGCAAGTACATATGGGTGAAAGATGCTAAGTTTTTGTATCCTGTGATGCCATGTGATCATATGCCACAGAGGTACAAGTTACATGCAGCCTAATAAGCTTTCAGTAAGGTGGTGTTCTTGGGTGAGAAGTAGGGGAAGAGGAATGTAATTCTAACAGGGATCTGCTGTCAGTGTGTATCGTCTGTCTGCTAGAGGTTTCCTTGGGATCTGAGCAAAACAGCAGACCATGTTGGGGGGGGCGTTGGGGGAGAAATCCATTCTGGTTTCTTTGCTGCATAGAATCTGCAAGGGTGGGGATTTCTCCATTAGCAGAATTTTCTTTTACTTTTTTGTACCTTCAGTACTACAACTTACTACTACTGTAGCTCTGTCTTCAAATAAGTCTTCTTGCCACTTTCAGGTATAATGTTCTGCTTTCTTAGGATGGGCAATGTAATACAAGATAAATACTAA